ATGAGGGAACTACTCAATAATTGCATTGGGAGCTACTTTTAACAATGAGTACGGAGATAAAACCCTGCGACGTTGTTTAAGTGTAATGTGGAAGTTATAAAATTCAAGTTGAAAAGCTGAAATAAAAGATAAGTTGCTTCATCGGACAGTGTAATTGGCGAAGTTTGAGACAATTGCTGTGTTAATGATTTTGTTGTTTATCTTGAAACGTTTACAGAGATTCATATTTATATTTTCTACTATCTTTTGTCTGCTACTTCGCTCGCGTTCGTGAAGTATTGCGTTTGAAAACACATTTCCATTTATGAGAATGCGCTAGTCGATGAGTCGAATTTGTTAGTAACATAAAAGATAGTAAGATAAAACCAAAAAATAATACATTTCTTTTTATGTTACAGGGGCAGACGAGCGGACGGGTCACCTGGTATAAATTGACCATTGCCGCCCATGAACGTCTGCAACTCGGGAGTCACAAACGCGTTACCGGCTGTTTAGGAACGTACTCCTTGTATGCTCTTTTCTTGAAGGTTAAATTAACATATATCATGACACGCACACACTATCTTCAATCGTTTTTTTTTTAGGGTTTCGCTAACGCTTCTAACTGGCAACTGACTAAGAAGAAGCATCAAGAAACTCAGTTCTTTTTCATATTTATTTAATATTGTTACAATTAAGGCAAAACACAACATTTGTTAGCGAGAACGAGCAATTCATGTCCCTGCCAAGCATCTTAGTCGTTTTAAAAATCTTTAATGCTATAGTAAGCTTTCTAAACTAATTTACATGTACCTTTTAAACTTCAGTATATAGATAGACAGGCTATTATATATGAAACTGCTTCTGGAAGGAGCTAAGCTGGAACTAACCAGCGTTTTCTGAACTGTTTTTCATTCATCAACAGCCTTTAATAGTCCACTGCTGGACATGGGCATCTCCCAAGAAAGGATACTTTGGCCTACTATACCACGCTTTGGCCTACTATACCAGACGGGTTGGTATAGGGCTTTTTTGTCAAGTTTTCCTTCTTTTTGCAATGCTGTTGTCCTATGTAGTTTGTTCTCTTAGTCGGCTCTTACGACACCCACGGGATGAATTGGGGTGGTGACACTCCGTATTCTTAATCCGTCACCACACAGACTTTTCTCTCATTCTTAAATTTGACTAAATGTCACTATAGCTCAGACTAAAAGTTCATTACTTAATAAGATTTTAAAGGCTTTCATTTTTATTATTATAAATGCGAAATGAATGGACATGCTTATATTTGTTACTTAGTTACACCAGAATGGCTGAATGAACCTAATTTATATGCAAAGAAATATATTATAGTCTTTACTACTACATTACTTATTATCTCGTCAAAAATGTTTTTTTCTTTTTGACGGAGTGGGAAATCCTTTCGGCTCTTCTGCTCCTCGGGGCTAGGAGCTAGGAGTATGTGGTGATTGCACTAAAACCACCCCGACTGCCGGCCTCAGATGCCCTACTCTGGGAGGACCTGGACCATGTTATTTCAGGTCCTCCCCGAATTGACACCATGCCTAGTCAGGCCCTATCCCAGGAAAAACAGCGGGCCACAGCTGGTGTATCATATAACAAGGATTTCTATGGTACAAACCATCTTGTTCCATACTTAAATCAACTTAAGGATTTGATATACTTACATAATTTAGTTTCGCTTCTCCGCTTCACCCGCAGTTTGATGACACACGATGAAATGCACTGCAACAAAAATAAAGTCAGTTTCCCACAAATAATTATACATGGATATCTGTGAAAGGCCTGGTTTTCTAGACTCTTTTAAGTATTTAAAGGATGTCTAGTCGTCTAAAATTATTCGCTTTTTTTTAGAGAACAGTGGTCATACGAGCAAACTGATGGTAAATTGGTAGTCACTGGCCATGGCGGCTCATGGACTACAACCTACAAGAGACACAAGCACGAAGCCGTCCTTGAAGTGTCCCCCTCCAAGAATTAGAAGGTGGGGGTTGGGCACAGAAATCGTAATAATAAGATTGTGTCTTACCTACTATTTCCGTGGGGTAAACTCGGGAATGATTTTTTTAATACAGACCCCGACTCCACAGACATCACACAATTAACTTAAAATTTTATAAATAATAATATAAATTTCAACTTTAAAGAAACATGACCAAAAGTCTAAACTCATTCAAGCATTATAAATGGAAATCTCAAATTGTAACTTCTGATTAAATTTCTGTAAAAATAATGAAATCTCTCGAGAAGAAGAAATAAGTTAGTGATATTTAAGAAGCAAACAACAATAGTACTTAATACAATAACCCATAATTGTGCAGAAGTGCCCCTTTCGAAGCACACAGAAATGACGTCAATAAAACTGATCTCTAAAAATAGTTAGACACTAATTCTATTGAAACTAATCTTGAAAAATAGATATCTCATTAATTATGTAAGAGATAGGGAAGCTCGCCAATGGTCAAACAGAACAGTTATTTGATTTTACTGACTCGACTAGAGATCATTAAGTATTTATTGCTTAATGTAAGCCGCCATCTTGGATATGCTGTAGAAGATGAAATGTGAAACATTAAACGACAATACTATTAATTTTATTACAAGACAAAGGTTATGTCGATATTAAAGCTTACGATTATGAGATTATATTACGAACGTTTTGAATGTGTGTAAGTTTTACTTGATTTTCTTCATGAATAGGTGCCAATACGGTTTCGCTCTTAGACACTTTCTTGATTACCAAGATTACTATTAAATAAGTAGGCTAATTTCGGGTCACTTACGACTGCTACCTAGTACTACTTGAAATAGGTGGACAGCACCTTGATCACAAGTTTTTAAACTACTGGCTAGGCTAAGATTATCACAAGGTTAAGAAAGCGTGCTCTTTTTTAGAACGGAGCATTAATACCTGTTAAGTTTCTTTTAACATTTTTATGTTAAGCCATAACATTGAAGTTTAAAATAATATTTCTACTACTACACTTAATTATCATCTTAATTTTGATAAGTATTTGTCCCCAAAAGTGTTTTCTCTTTCTAGAAATGCTGCAATTAGTCTTAAATTTACGCTATCAGAAAGCATACCATGTTTCTAATCTTCTATAAATAAACCAACATACACAGCATAACACTCTGAGTTCTCTTTTTTCTTTTTTTTTTTCTTAGGAGAAGACCTTATTTCATTATAAATTTAAAGGCACCTTCGTTTTCTTTCGGAGTCCCACAGTTGGCCTTGGTTGGGTCGTTACATATTTAATAGGCACTCTTATAATTTGAAAACCTTGTAATACAAGTAAGAATAAATGTAATTAACTAACATAATCGCCATACAGATAGTAAATAATGCGATGTACAGGAGTCCCAAAGGACGCATGTTATGTGTTAGACAAAAACCCAGAGCTATTATACATTTTATTCCATGGAATTATAGCTTTATAAAGGGTAATTTGGGTGTAGCTTGATCTCAAAGGATGCCATTAAGTTCTCATCAGTGAAAATTCTGGTTTAAACACTTAATGCAAGATGTCATAGAATGGTTTGGTTTTAGGAATGTGGAAAGAATTTACATAAAATATAAAGGTTAGAATGTTTTGATAATAGATTAATTCCAGTTACAGGATTGCAACCGAGATCTGCTACAGTATTTGTTTACAATCCTCAGCCCATCTGTATAAGCAACATCCCTTGAGTTTCCTTATCTACCTTTTTATTCAATATACTGTCAATTATCATTTTCCTAGAAGGACTCGTGGTTAAGTGGCAACCGATTAGGTTAATAAATCTTAGCCAGGTCAGTATATGGATGGATGACCATTTCTTAACACATTGAGACCCCTATGTGCCTCGGAGAGCTCGTTAAGGCGTTGGTCCCGGTTACCACACGAACATCTGTGGCAATCGTGGTTGAAGCCCAAAAAGTGCAATAGCAGTCTTTCTAACAGAACTTCGAAACCGCCTGGTACTTTGATTGTACCGATTTGATTGTTATGACGGCAGTCATCATAAAAAATCCATGACAGTACTAAGATCGAAACTTAGCGAATCAGAAAACAAATTAGACCGTCTTCGAAGGACAGGTTTAAATCTTTGCCGAATGATATTACACAGAAGTAAATCCAAGAGTTAGATACAAATATTATAAATCGTCTACCGACTACGAGAGAATAGTAAAAGTGGTGAAGGACTCGTTAAAATAGAAAGCATTAACGACTGATTACATTTTATAGGGCTGTGTGAGTCATGTTTGATTTAATTACCGGGGGGTTTGTGGGAATCTCATGGGGCTCCATTTTAATCTTAAACAAAATATATTGTGATTTGAGAGATGTTGTACAAAACCAAACTTAATATTTTTGATAGATTTTGATGATGGACATGGGGAAAACCGTCTTGGTCAACGTTCCAGGCACAAATTTATAATATACAGAAATGCAAAAATTTGCATTTTGATAAGAACTTGTTTCTAATTTTTTTTTAATACTCATTTTACCTTAGAGAAGGTAAGGTTTCTCTAAGGGATCGCATCAGAAATGAGGTGATCCGGCAGAGAATCAAGGTCACCGACATAGCCTACCGGATCAGCAAGCTGAAGTGGCAGTGGGCTGGCCATATTAGCCGCAGAACCGACAACCGTTGGGGAAAACGAGTTCTTGAGTGGAAACCGCGTCTCGGTAAACGTAGTGTAGGACGCCCACAGGCCAGGTGGAGTGACGATTTGCGCAAGATGGCTGGCAGGAGGCAGGAGCTGGATGCGAGAAGCCCAAAATCGATCTAAGTGGCGTGCAATGGGAGAGGCCTATGTCCAGCAGTGGACTGCGACAGGCTGATGATGATGATGACTCATTTTACACATGGTTCAGTTGTCATTAGTAACCTTGTTTAACAATGCAGTTAAGGTTAATCCTTGTATCTGGAGTAGAATCAGGTCAATAGCATACTGGACGGAGCTCGCAACAGATTGATCGTAACTGAATCTACATGCTTTAAGTTATCATCTACTAAGATAAATCTACGATGAAGCTCACCTCATGTATATGCCCCAACACCTCCGTCCGCGACATGTCTTCAAGTCTGGTTTCGTTCACATCCATTATCTCGTCAGCTAACTCTAGATTGTCCCAGTTGCCAGCTGATGGTGACCCTGCAATATTATATACTATTGAATACATGAGAAACAAGCTAAGTCTTAAAAATAAAATCAAAAACCCAACTACATTAAAATGTATAGGTACTTAAAATCTAGAAACAGACGATTTCAAATTTTATAATTTTCATTTTCCCAGTGGTACAATCAAGAAAAATCTAATGAGATCTCAATCGCCAAAATCGATCAAGTCGTTAATAATACAGGGGGTGCCAAATACATGTATATCAAAAGTGGGCTAGGTTCTTGAAAAATTTAAATAAAAGAGCAAGTGTGTTGTAAATTTAGAGTCACTTAATGGGAGTTTTTAGTCGTTTCATTGTTGACATTTTGTGTGAATGGAAAAGATACTGGATTCTTATCCTGGATTGAATACTATGCCTAGGAAATGTGTTTATTCCTAAAATATATATATAAAATATAGCCCGTAACTGAGGAGTCACAAACGTGATGCAGGTCTTTGAGGTAGGAGCACGCTCTTTTCTTAAGGGTTTGGAGGTCAAAAATCAATGTGTTTTTTAGCCAATTTAGGTACTAAATCATCATTGCCCTTTTATGTCCATTCCAGACGATTTAGTCAGTGTCCCGTTGCCATACACCTTGTTTCGTGGCTATTTATGCCAATCCTAGAGCGACAGGTTCTACCGCATACCCTGCACCTAAAACTACTGGTATCATTGTTAGTTCTAAATTATTATTATTATTCTCTTTATTACATTATATATAAATATTAATTAGTTTATAAATATATTACAATACATTATAAAACACTGTACCTTGGGTACAGGGACCAAGACACCGGTGGTTAGGACTTCAAAGCCAGGAACCTCCTCACTATACGGGCCGTGTCAAGGAAGGCAGTTCGCCTTCTGCATCAGGCTCCTCCATCCGTCTAACGTGAGCCTCTTAAGGTGTTGGTCGAGACTCTTGGCAATCGATCCGTGAGCAGATACGACTACCGGAACAAAGATCGCGGAATCCACATTCCACATATCAATCTATCTCGTGAGATAAATCCAAATATTTTATTTGTTTTTCTTTTTCACGAGATTCCAGTCATGAGGAACGGCGATGTCAACAATCACTGCACGACGCTGTAATCGATCTATCACCACAATATCTGGCTTATTGGCAACAATAGTCCTGTCTGTGATAATAGATCGATCCCAATACAACGTGGCCCGACCATTCTCGAGAACTAGGTCGGGCACATACCTGCAGTATGGCACCTGTAGGTTCACAAGTTGGTATTTAAGAGCAAGCTGTTTGTGTACGATCCTGGCTACTCGGCTAACTGGCTTGTGCCTGTGCAAATATTCACCGTTAGCGAGACGAGAACAACCAGAAATAATATGCCTGATTGATTTTCCAGGACGTTAGCATGCCCGACAGATGTCAACCGTACCATCTTCCAGAATATATTTCCGATAGTTATTCATCATGATAACTTCGTCCATAATCGCACAAAACAAAACCTTCAGTTTCTTCGAAGAGATCACCATACCGTAGCCCAGAGAGCCTAGTCTTGATATTTAATAGTCCGCGACCCCCAAAATTTCACGGGATATACAATCTCATACCGATGAACGTGGGTGGTGCATTCGGAATGCAGTCAGCAGTGTACGGACTCTCCTGTCAAAGGCTTCTAATTCGGTCTGATTCCTTCTAAGTACAACAAAGGAGTACATCAGAATCGGCATGACCATACCATTTCAGGCTCGCACCTTGTTGCCTTCTGATAAAAGACTTTTACCAACCCGTCTGGCCAGCGTGGTATAGTAGGCCAAAACCTCCTTTCTAAGGAGAGGCTTATGTCCAGCAGTGGACTATTAAAAGCTGTTGATGAAAAGACTTTTAAGTACTTTTTTAGGCGGCCAAAAAAGTGTTCCTGAAACGTCTGTTTCTTGTCAGATTCTGGTAATCCCAACGACTGTGATATACCCAGATACTTGTAAGTTTCAGTAGCAGACAGAGATCTGAGTTTTGTTAAATCTGAAAGCTCTGTCCTTCAGACTCTACTATCACGCCCTTCTTTACATACATGGCTGCACACTTGTCTACAGCAAATTCCATTTTAATAGAGTCAATTGTAATTTAGTGGTGGCTAGTAATTTCAAATCATCCATATAAAGAAGGTGAGATGTATCTTGATCATCTTTCTGCAACTTAAATCCTAACCCTGTACCCTCTAATAAAGTGCTAAGAGGGTTCCAAGCCAGAAAAAACCACAAGGGACTCAGACTATCACATTGAAATATACCCCGCTCGATCTTTATTGGTATCGTCGTTTACCGCAGTCTGCCGACATCTTGGATAGTGAAATGCTGTTCTCCATTGCCCAATACAAGACTTCAAGAAAGTGCACAAAGTTGCATAAATTTTATACACCTCCAGCACCTTCAATAGCCATGTATGTGAAACCGAGTCATAAGCCTTCTTATAGTCTACCCAAAATGTCGCCAAATTCTTACGATTACGATGCCTCCAATGCCAGCCATTGGTCATGTCTACGGGACCCACTTCTACATCCATTCTGAGAAACTGACATAATCGAATTATTATTAATGTGTAAAGTAATTTTGAGACTCAGAATAGATGTTAGAAGTTTGTACATGGTTAGTAATGTGATTGGTCTAAAATTTTATTATTTTATTTTTTTCTAAATACAGGCACTTAAATACATACACACACATTAAATTTATAACAGCCATCGTTTTGCATCGAGACATATTACCGACCGAGTATAATGATATAACATTAATTCGTATTTCCAAATAGAAAAAAGGGTCACAATTGACCCTTCTGGAAAAGTGTCTTGAGAAAGTTAGCATCCTTGACGAATACATAATGTGCCGGAACGGTAGCTGGCGTGGCTCGACCAGTATTGTTTATAGGAATATAAAAATATGGAAAGATATTGTTTCTTTGTGAAGCTTGTACTTTGGGAGTACAATAAAATAGGTAATTTATTAGCAGGCAGTCTGAAACGTTATAAGTTTTGTTTTGAAGCACTTATTTGGCTGTAAGAAAAAAAGAAAGGACGAAAACATTTCTTTAATGCTCACTCAGAGGTAAACAACAGATATATTTAATATACGTACTATCTAAAATAGTATAAAATTATGACAAATAATAATAGACATTTTAAATAAATATTTCTATTCTAGTAAAAATGTCTTCGTCGTTTTAGCTGCTTTTAAGGCATTGCCATATTTAATTTAGCATTATGATAAAAGATAGAAATTGATTGCGAACTTTGTTGGCTAGACTTTTTCAGGTAGCCCGAACCTGACACTGATAAGTCTGAAATTAAGCGTAATCTTACAATTATCCATACAATAGGGTACACTACACCCTTTGCCGAATTGTTTTATTTTGAATTGAAGGCAACAGTAAAAATCCAAAATTATAGATTAAAATATCTTCTTCAAAGTAACGATATTGTCTAGTAACGTTAAAGTCTTGATAGAACTTGGTGATACTGGATTTGATTTTGAGCAACCATTTTAGAACCTTATGGAGTTGACATAAAACATTATTTCACTGTTAAAGGCAAATCAGTTTCTTACTAATTAACGTCAAAACAGTAGATATTTTGTGAAATTTGGATGAAATAACACCTTGCGACGATATACTAGACAAAAAAATCATCTTTTTTTGTCTGAAATGGGCAATATGGATTATTAATTGATAAAAACTTTGGCTAAAACTTCAATTTTTAGTAACAAAATTAGGCCAATGCTACCTACGACTGTTTTGAACAAATTGAGGAATAGCAACTGGATTTAGTTTGTCAAAACAAACATCCTAATGTAAATTCGTCTAACTGCAGCTCAACAATGGCCTTATGATGATGCTAGAGCCGCTACGTTTTTACAGTACTCGTATCTTAACACATCCAAGGAAGTGAGATTGAATGTTTTCAATACTTACATTATACGAGTACATACTATTTTTATCGTGGGAGAGCCATGCTTCGGCACGAATGGGCCGGCTTGAGCGGAGTGATAGTGAGGCCGTGCCTCACAGAAAACCGGTGTTAAGCAATTCTTTACCGGAGCCCAAATCCCCGACTCCAAGGGCGGCAACGCTCTTGTGACTTTAGAGTTGCAGGTGTAAATGGGCGGCGGTTGTTGCTTACCATCAGGTGACCTGTCTGCTCGTTTGCCCCCTTATACCATAAAAAAAAACATTTATAAACAAATTATACCATATTGTCATACTGTACATACATACTTGAAAACTGTGCTTAATATCACCATAGGTTTTTTATAATTGTTTGGTAATTTGTGTTAATGGATTGGTTGCTGCAGTGAGTCTCGGTCAGTGTTTTACCGTTAAAAGATAAATGAAAAATAACTTTATTTTGCAAACAGATCTTTTCAGACACTATTTCATTCGGTGATTCATTAACAATACTAAATAATTAATTAGTACTGTAGAACATGCCTTATATTTGTTTGATATCTGTATAATCTAGTTAAAAAGTGTTTTGCGTCACGATATCACTGTGCTTATATAAAGCATAGCTAGATACAACGCAGATATGGAAATTTTAAATGTTTTCAAAAATTGAAGGAGGATTTTAACTAGACTGTATTTTGTTATGTTTGTTACCTTAGAATGCCGCCATTTATGAGTCAATTTAGAAAATACTTTTTTTATTGGGGCGTGTTTATACGACCAACAAACCTTGAAGATGGAAAGTTAAGGAATAAAAAATACAATTTAATAAAATTTATCATGACAACATAAAAAAGTTTTATTAACAGTTTTGTATTATGAATAGTTGTCAACGAAATGAGTTTTCTATCAGTATTTTTGAATGTACAGGACGCCCACAGGCCTGGTGGAGTGACGATTTGCGCAAGATGGCTGGCAGGAGCTGGATGCGAGAAGCCCAAAATCGATCTAAGTGGCGTGCAATGGGAGAGGCCTATGTCCAGCAGTGGACTGCGATAGGCTGATGATGATGATGATGATGATTTTTAAATGTACCACGCCAGTCAAATACGTTTATACACAGCTATAATTACCATATTGAAATGAATAATTTTAAGACAATTGTGTTCATCAATCAGAAATATATTTCATTAAGTGATTATAAATGAAAACCAAGATATTATGTTCTGTTTATAAAGATGCACAGCAAAAACAAAACCTGTCGAAATGTCACTATAAATGTTAACATTTTTTTTTCTATAAACAAGTAATTGTATCGATTTTAGAACATAATTCATCACTCTTTTCTATTTTAACCGACTTCCAAAAAATAAAGAATGTACCATACTACATATGTATCTTTTCATATTCACTCATCACATTCACATTCATTCACTCATTCACACTCATCATATTTTCATCATCTATGGACCGTTTTAAATGTTTTGTTTCATTTCACTGACCACTACTTATGTCTGTTTACTGTATAGAAATAAATATCTACAACACTTTTTCTGTATATTCACTTTTAGTTTTCCAAAATTAAGGTCCTGTGTTGGTAAAGTTTTCTTACGTAAAACGTACCGATGGGTAGGGTCTTAGTTATAGCTGTTTTAAAACATATAAAATTGACTTAAAAATAACTTTCTAAGACTGATTTGCTGGGCTATCTTTTTATAGAAGGACAATAAGAAATATCTTATTATTCTATAAAAACATAGCCTATGAAAAGAAATCTTTATATAGTTTAAAATGCAGACACTTTTTATTCTTGTACGCTCATCAGTACGCTAGTACGATCATTTAAACTATGCAAGGGATTTAATTGCAGTTTTTACCAATAGAGAGAGTGATTCAAGAGGTAGTTTTATATGTATAATAAATGGATATTGTAGAAGAGGAAATCCGAGAATTCCAAAGATTTGGGAAGATAGTGGGAAGTCGTTTTTGTACGCTCAAATTGCAAAACGCTGCTTTAAGAGACAGATCAAAATAATTGGAATTGTATCTCTTAAAAAGATTTACAAAAAAGTCCGCAATGGCATATGTCTATCTTTTAAGAATAATCCATTAAGTATCCATTTTTATCTTCTACATATTATAAAACAATGTTTTATTCACGAATCTATTTTGAAAAATACAGTATTATTCCAATTAAATACGTTAGATAAGTTGTGCTTTTAATGTAAATTGCCTGTACACCATGCTATTAAAATTAATATCTTAGAAGATATTAGAGATTCAAAATCCGGGCAAAGCGGCCGTAGTCAGGCCATACGTCCGTCCCGGGCGGTAATCGCCTTCAGGAGCGAAGTCGAGCCTATTAATATTGTATATAAAGATTACCTATAGTATAGTCTCATTATAATAATAGTATAATTATTTACTCCACACTGACACCACATTAGTAGCATTAGTAGTCTCACATTGCATTCGAGCGAAGACGAGGCGGATCGCTAGTAATAAATATAGCACAATTAGACCCCATTGCATGTTATACAAACTATCCCTAACCAACCGCGGATCTGACCCTGTGCATCAGATCTAAATATTAATATTTTTTAACTTAAGGTCTTTAAGGTTCTTTCAAAGTACTGCCAATATAGGCAGACGTCTTTCAGAGCCTACCACTGTCGAACCACTCACTTCACGACTTGTAAATCAGATAAACCTATTATAATTTAAACATTCAGATAATTTAGACATTATCTCATCTTAGTAGATGTATACTTTTACTCTATGAGGCCTGTGTAACATGTTATGTAGCCTATGAGTTTGCTCGCCAGTTTTGAAAAACCGGGGGGCCAACAAAATGCGAGTGACACATTACTTCTATTCACTGCAATGCTGCTAGCTGCTAAGCCTCAGAATGGTAGTCTACTCCAAACATGGTTGATTAGAGAAGGTTAATAATAAAGATTTGTTCTTTTTACAAACATAAAAATTGTCTTTGAAAGGAGGAACCATTTTTTTTTTATTCGTGTGAAGCATAGAAATAAACCACCTTAGGTTACTTGATTGCTAAATAATTAAGAGGTTTTGAGGTCTTTGTTTTAAAAATAAACAAAACTGATTCAAATAATAATATTACTGTCTTAAAAATCATTTGAGCGCAAGGCGTAGCTAACAATTAGAAATAATTTTGATATAACTATGACTGAATAATGATGGCGTTACTCACAGAATACAAGATTTTTGATAGATATTTCACAAATAATATGTGTAGGGTATACTTACCATATAATTTAATTTTATTATCCTTAGTCTGGACCACTATAATAACATAGCCCTCCAAATCCACAGATTTACATTTCACTGTTGTCATTTTATCTATTGCATTAATTTGCGTGGTTGGTGCATTAAACGTATTCATTTTGCAATATTTATTATTTATGTTACTAAGTTTAAACGCGAAGTAGCTACGACAAGGGACCACTCACGCCCCCTTTACACGAAACATTAATTATTTCTTTAATTTCATGCCAACGTTTACGCCAACGCCACTTCAAACACAGCCCACTTTTTATACAATTATTCATTTTTATTATTTTCCACATTATTTTTAAAATCTAGCCAGGAGACAGTAAATCGGCCATTATTATTTTGTAATCTCACTTGCTGCTTAACGAACACTGGTCGGACATATAAATAATTATTATCATAACATTTTGCTAAATTGTTGTACATTTATGTCATGATTTTCAGTATATTGTCGAGGTAGAGGCAGATTTCTCTTCGTTTTCACTCTGACAAGTCACGTTACGGTGTTTAGAATAAACGCGGTTCGTATTTTTCACACATAACTAATCTACCTAATTTTGTTTGCGAAAACTGAACGATTTTATACAATAATTCGGTCATTTATCTAATATTTAAGGCGAATAAACGTGTATTTTAGGTTGAAAACCGGTCCCACGTCCGCGGGCTGGGTGTTCGCCGCGAATGGATACGACTATCCCATTTTCGCACGATCAATAATGCTCCCTACCCAGCATCCCTTCACACTCCCACAGACTATCGCTCTATTTTTCGTGTTTATACTAAATTAAGTTTTGCAGATTTAACATAATTTTAATATAAATAATGATTTTAAATAGAACATCAAATTGTAAAATAATAAAAATAATCACAATAAATTTCAAAACAGAATGAAGGTCCCACCGAGATTTGAACTCGGATCGCTGGATTCAAAGTCCAGAGTGCTAACCATTACACCATGGGACCGCTTGTTGGTGAAGTTGAAATTGTTTATTACTATAAGTGATAACATTCTTGTAATAAGTAATCATTTTAAAAATACAAGTTAGAATTTTCGTAACTATAACCTAGATTTTTAAAAACGTTTTGAAGCTAACAACATTAACGTTTTGGCCCTCTTTCATTTGATTTAGTTTCATAAAATCAATATCAGATGGCGGTACTAGCTAATCTAACACTAAAAATCATGAGGTTTGATGTTGTCATGAAATTGTGTGTACTGCCATCTATATACCATTTTTAACATTACACTCAAACATTTGTTTTTTAAATAAAATTGAATAATACCAAACAATCTAATTTTATTTTAATCAAAAGTAAAATCATAGAAATAACATCTTTTAGTTTGAAAGAGAATAAGAAATTTCATGTAAGATTGAACTTTTTTGTATAGATTGTGTGTTACTAGTTCTTGAAGTTTTAATAATTTAAAACAAAGGTTGGGAAAGCAGCATTTACCCTATAGCAACACCAAACGTCAGTTTGTCACTGACTTCGCTGCGGTATGGTTGTCATTTCGTCGGTCTATCAAATAGTGTGATAGATGAATGGAAAATAATTAAGTTTATCGCAGCGAAGACGCCTCTTGCATCTCCTCGAAACGACGTCGCGCGTGTTATAACACAAAAGTGTTCAATAAGAGTGCTCTCTTCGACACAACACCGCCATGATCGATGTTAGAAACAAAGATGGCGGAATAATACGGTGATCATAATCAAACGCGTTGTTTTGTCGTGTGTAGCGTTATGTGCTGTGGTGGGCGGCGGCTGCAGCAGTGTCGGGGCGCGTGAGTGAGGAGGAGAGGCGCGATGGGGGCGCGGCCGGGGTGATGCCGCCGCGGCCTGCGGCCGGCCGCGCGGCCATGGCGGCCGACAACGATCGCCCGCCGCTCGCTCTGTTCACCGCCGTGTACGACTATGTCGCTCAGGGAGAGGACGAGCTGTCCCTGCGGCGAGGCGAGATCGTCGAGGTATTGTCGAAGGACGCCAACATCTCCGGCGACGAGGGCTGGTGGACAGGAAAGATCGGGGACCGCGTTGGCATATTCCCCGCCGTGTACGTCACGGAGGAGGATCCCTTGGCCGTGGAGCCGCCCTGCGTGTCCTTCTCGCAGCTGAAACTGGAGGAGGTCATTGGTGTGGGCGGCTTTGGGAAAGTGTATCGCGGTTATTGGAACGATGAAGTCGTAGCTGTGAAGGCAGCTCGACAAGACGCAGACGAAGATATCGAAGTTATAAAAGAGAGTGTGCTGCAAGAGGCGAGACTGTTTTGGGTCCTTCAACACGAGAATATAGTGTCATTGAAGGGTGTTTGTTTGGAAGAGCCTAACTTATGTTTGGTGATGGAATATGCTCGTGGGGGGCCGTTGAACCGTGTGCTTTCTGGTCGGAAAATTCGACCCGACATTCTAGTCGATTGGGCCATCCAGGTGGCACAGGGAATGGCTTATCTGCATGTTGGCGCTCCAATGTCCCTAATACACAGAGACTTGAAGAGTTCTAATGGTGAGTATTAAATCTTTTCATTTGTCTATAATATCTTATCTACATTTTATGTAATGAGAAGAAGAGATGGTACATACAACTTGGTGTTTTCATCAGTTAGAGATTTCCTATGTCTGAAGGTTGTGTTAGTGTTAACCTAGGGTAAAATTATGAATTTTAAATTTAAAAAAAACTGATAAGTGTATTATGGTAAACAGAATACTGATGAACTGCTGATATAATACCAATTATAGATGAATTACAACCAGACATCATATAATCATCCTCATATTTGTCCATGTCTGTCAGAATCCACTACCACCTCCAGTTACGATCACTAACCGCTAGACCACCAGGCCTGTTTTACTTTAACAAAAGAATATTGACCCACTGTCTATGCCAAATTACACACTTTAAGTGGTAGTTGCGAAAAACTACCCAATTGGAAGCTTAAGTCAGTGATCCTTATTTACACTTTATTTCTATTAATATTAATAGTTTAATAATTTCTATTAATAGTTAGTATCATCAACCTGAACAAAATCCTTGAACAGATCTATCTCAAGGTCACTCCACCGTTATCAATGTAAGCCATTCACATTCCATTGATAACAATAATGGTTGATTGATTTTCCTGTCAGCTGATATTGTCTAAAATGTAGCACCTACTCGTTACATACCTGATACTGTTTTCTGTTTTAAATTGAATTAGAATTTAGTCACCAAAAATGTTTCATTTTTACTATACAATGGTTTAATTGTAATATTTTTGCCTCAGATTACTAAGTTAAGTTCATTGTGCAGAGTTAGAATTATAATTAGTTTAATTTTCTTGTAAAGCAATTACCAATAAGTATCTTATAAGATAATATCTTCATTATATGTAATATAAGTTTTATAAGTTTATAGCCTCATGACTAAAACTGTATTCCGCCACTTCTAAGAGAGGGTGGTGATTATGACAATCGATTAAAGAGCTTTAACACCATTACTAAATTACATAAAATAGACAACTTTTAATATGGAAATTTGTTTTCTTCTATGTCTAATGTCTACTTATACCTACTGAAGCAGTTAACAAGAATCCTATTATTATCCTCTAAAACAAAGTTACTTAAATTATCTAGAGCTCACATCTCAAATTAAACAATAATTGACGAATTCTTACTGAAATTTCTATAGCAATCCGTCATGATCAGGTTTATCCACTACTAGGTTTTGTCTGTGCCTCCGCTTGCATGTATGTCAGTTATGGCGGTTTTAAAATCCGTTCAGTGGTTTAGGAGTGAAAGCTAACAAACAAACAAACTCACTTTCACATTTATAATATATAATGATAAACACACATACAGGGAGGATAAAAAACACATACAGGACCGATTATGTCATACCTTGGGGGATGCCTATGTCCCGTATTGGACGTCTTTCAGCTGAGATCATGATGATAATAAAAAAAAACTGATGATAACCTGCTGTAAAAAGAAACCATGACAATGAGTTTTTTATTATAAACAATATATATATAATTTACTATGGTTGTATAAGTACGTCATAAAAGAACTGGTCATCTTTATGCTAATATGTAAAGTTACTTTGATCAAAGTACAGTATTAAAGCTTATAAATTATTATAAAATTATATAGAACCGTGTGGTGATGGATTAAGAATACAGAGTGTCACTCATCTATTCATCCCGTGGGTGTCATAAGAGCTGACTAAGGGAGAAAACTATGCAGAACAACAGCACTGCAGAGTGAAGGAAAACTTGACACAAACCCTATACCAACCCGTCTGGCCAGCGTGGTATAGTAGGCCAAAACTTCCTTTCTAAGGAGAGGCTTATGTCAAGCAGTGGACTATGAAAGGCTGTTGATGAGACAGTTGCTATATTATAGTTTCCTGAGAGTATTGCATACAAACATATACTCACATAATATTGACACATACATATTATATATGTTAACATCTTTGTCAGTGGGAAGTTTTAGTCCTCTCCAGTTTTTTTTTCTATTTGTCTTCTAATCACCTTATTGCCTCTGGCAGAAGCCTGTTTGCTGCTATGGAAGTATTCCAACAGTCTGATAATTACTTAAAATATGTAAAATCTTACATCTCTTTGCTTTGACATTTTTTTAAATATGTACTTAAAATATGTTAATGTATCTTTATTGTGCATATGAGAACTGTATACTTACAGTAATAATGGAAACTCATGAAATATCATTTCTAGACTTATCCAGATGTCAAGACATAGGCTTAATAAGGTTCCGGATGTCATAAAAACAGCTATTCTCCGTCTGCCCTATGTCAGGTGCAGAGTAACACGTGGTGTGGTTTTAGTTCTTTCAATTTTGACACACTGCCCAACCGTCAACACCGGTGGTGTGACAGCCCAAGGGAGTTTCCACACATAAATGAAAAATAGTGTTACATGGCTGTCTGACTACTTGACATCAACCTTCTTTTGGAAATTTAAAAGGTTTTCAAATAGGATAAGTAAGAAAATTAAGTTAATGAAAATGCATAGGCTGAGGAAGCAATGATAAGGGATACAGCAATTCTTGGGTCTGAAACAGGTATTTGACCGAAGCTCGCTCACTATCTTAAAAGTGGCAAAAAAAGCGAACCTTATATAATATGTTGGTTCTGTGAATGAGAGGCCAGTAACATTGAACCAGATACTCATTTAATTTAATAAATTTTGTTATCATTTTATCTAAACCTACACACAATATTAAGGTCAGAATTACATCATAACTAATAATATTAATATGGATGTGTTTGTTTGTTTAAATGTAAAAATTTACATTCAAATTTTTTTCAACAAGTTAAAAAAAATTGCTGGATTGTACTATGTGCATAATGGGTCCTTCAAAAACTTCCAATACTGAGAAATCTATGTGAAGAGCTTGAAATTAAGAAATCTAGACATTTCAACCAGAACAATTTGTTCATTTCATTTAGGAGTGCTATCATGAACCAATGCCTCGTTATCATGCAAGTTAGTAGGCAGTGTGATGTTCTCGCTGGTGCATTTTTAAAGTACTGTTATTCAAATAATAGTGAGGCCAAGTGATTTTGACTGACTGACAGTCTTGGTGGTACAGTGGTAGCATATGCGACTGCTGCGCTGAGGTCTTGGGTTGATACCCGGGTCAGACCAAATGTTTGTATGATCTGCAAAAATTTGTTTCGTAGTTTGGGTCTTTTCTATGTATAATATGTATGTATTTACAAAAAAAAAGTTCATAAGTATTCTATCAGTCAATCTAGCTTTCATAGTACAGCCACAGGCTCTGCTTAGTTTGAAAGTAGATAGCGTTGTGTGTCAGATGTCAGTAATATTTATTAATATTATTATTTTAAGTTACCGAACTTATAAAAAACGGCCCTTCACCAGTCCTGAAGTCATAATCAGGTTAAGTAGAGTAACAAGAACAAAGAACTGATGGTATTCTAGACTCTAATATTTGATGCTCTGAAGATTTATATTAGTACACTAGCTGAGACCCGCGGTATTACCCGCGTTTGTTGTTATAACCGCGGGCAACGCCGCGGGGCGAAGCTAGTCTAAAAGAAGTAGCCTAAGTTACTCCTTATGTCATCAGCTATCTGCCAGTGAAAGTCCCGTCGAAATCGGTCCAGCCGTTCCAGAGATTACCCGGAACAAACAGACAGACAGACAGACAAAAATTGAAAAAAATGTTATTTTGGCATATGTACCGTGTAAACATACATATGCATTTAGTAAAAAGCGGTTATTTTAATATTACAAACAGACACTCCAATTTTATTTATTTGTATAGATAGGTATACTAATTGGATACAAAATCATTATTGCACGATACAGCAGTAGCACTTATGACGCAGTATGTCTCTACTAACATTTACCTGCGTGTCCGCCCGCGTGTGTTTCAGTTATCGCAGTAAAAAGTAGCCTATGTTACTCGCTGATAATGTAGCTTCCCATCGGTGAAAGAATTTTTTAAATCGGTTTATTGGTTTAGGCGTGAAAGCGTAATAAACAAATAAACTCACTTCCACATTTATAAGTATGGATGTTTGAGTGTAATGTTATATTTCATAAATACCACAACAACACGCGTGTACCAGTCTTTTGCCGGGTCTGCCAAGTGTAACGAGGATAATTCCAGGTAATAGAATCCAGCGCCCTGCCAATGCGTTAAAGATATGGTTGATTAACATTTATTCATCAATCGTCATCAACAGCCTTTAGTAGTCCACTGGCTGGACATAGGCCACTCCTTAGAAAGAAGGTTTTGTCCTAATATATCACGCTGACCAGAAGGGTTGATATATAGCGTTTGTTTCAAATTTTCCTTCTCTTTGCAGTGCTGTTGTCCTGCGTAGTCTGCTCCCCTAGTCGGCTCTTACTACACCCACGGGATGAATAGGAGTGGGGACATTCCGTATTTTTAATCCGACACCACACGGATAGAATTTATTACTAAAAGATAACATTTTATTACTAGAAATATTAAATACTGCATACCAACAGAAATATCACTTTCTGCTGGATCTTCTGTATTAGGAATAGGTCTTCTTGTTGTTCCTCTGCGATTTGCACAGAAATCTATTAAACTTCTTCCGTTATAAAGTTGTTTTTATTTACTCTGTGCTGTCTAGACTGTCGCAAAGTCAGGTGGTCTATTCTTAGCCCAGACGATATGGCGAGACGAGATTCCTAAAATACCTAATTATTTTACAGGATTTTGAACTCAATCAGTCGTAATTACAAGTAGGGTGTTTGTTATCCTGTTATAGGAATAGTCAGTGGACAGGTTTTCGAGTTAGGCAGACTTGTAAAAGAATAGTGAATCTAACACCTGAAAGCACTAGTAGTACCAACTTATCTCTTTCTCCTGCTTGCCTAAATTACACTTTAAGGTTTTTTTTTTGTTAAAGGATTGTTATCTTCTGGTTCTGATATCAAACTTCTAATTTTATTTAAATAACTATAAACGACGCTAAATTAATCCCTCTTATTTCCATAGAACTATAGGTATATAAC